CACAGAAACAAAATACTGTGAAATGTGTATGTATTTATTTGTGTTTACTTGTATATGTTCAAAACATAGGGGCTTTGTTTGACTGAAGGACTTGGCACTCGCCTATGCCAACAAATTTATCACAGAATCAAATAAGAATCCACCTAAGAAAAGCCCATAACAAAATATTATAAGGACTTTAGGAGTTTGCGCAAAAAGAATTAATTATTTTCAGAAGTTGTATTACTGTTTTTTTTCTGTTTGCCTACTGATGGGAGGAAGTTTGTAGACAGTTCTAGTTAATAAAGGACAACAGAATTTTATGCCCTGCAACAGGTTGCATGTTTATATATTTTTATATACACTAAATCTGAGGTTGGATGCAGCTTTCACAAGAGTGATTCTATTCAATTAGACAGGTGGAAAACTGTTACATGAGTGCAGTTTCTCTTTTCTCTTTGTGATCAGAATAATTTATTGTGTGCTTTGATTTTTTTCTTAAATTCTGTTTGGAACGATTCAATTCTGCTTCTAGGAAACTGAGTACAATTTCACTTTAAATGTACACCTATTGGGAAACACCAAAACTAGCCTGTTCGATGATTCAGACGCTAAGGAGAAATGAAACAGATGTGCAAATTTAAAAGCTTTAAAATAGGACATACTGACTTCCTGGAGAACAATACCAGCCAGCTCTACAATCTCGAATCACTGAAGGCAGAGATTTGGTTCCTTTTTTTTCCCAGGCATAGCACGAGTTTTTCATCCACAGTTTTTCTACTGATGCACTTGTTATATGAAGCCTAAATTATCAAATCATTCTGTACTTGTGGTCATTCCTGAAACGGTATCATAGCCCCCTCCAGTCTGATGAAAGCGAGACTTTGCAGCAACTTGCATGGAAGAGAGGTTAGATTAATTTCTAAAATAAACTTCAGCAAATCTTTATTTTCACTGAGATAAAAGTCCTCTCATCACAAAGACCTGTTTTATCACTTTTCACCTGCTTTTTCCTAACATGGTACCTACTAAGAACACTGTGTGGTGGGCTGGTTCTGATGTTCTGTTGAGGGTTCCTATACCTCACTGAATAAAAAGCAATTCTTACCATTATTAGAGAAACATAGTTCATACATTTCTACAGTTCTTCACTGTCACAACTGTGTTATGGGTTTGCGTGGCAAGGTTTTGGTAGCGGGGGGGTTATCGGAGTGGCTTCTGTGAGAAGCTGTGAGAAGCTTCCCCCATGTCTGATAAAGCCAGTGATAGACGGATCTAAGACGGACTGCCCAAGGCCGAGCCAATCAGCAACAGTGGTAGCGCCTCTGTGATAACATATTTAAGAAAGGGAAGAAAAAAAAAAAACTCGGCAGTGAGACAGCAGTTAGAGAAAGGAGTGAGATGATGTGAGAGGAACGACTCTGTAGACACCAAGGCCAGGGAAGAAGAAGGAGGGGGCAGAAGGTGCCCGAAATGTCAGAGCAGAGCGCCCTTCCTTGCAACTCCTTGTAATCGATGGCCTTGCTGGACTTGTCCAATGCAAGACAAAAGACAAACGGACTGAGGTTGTCAAGAGCTGAAGAGCTAACAAAGGGAGTAAATAACTGGTGCTTATCTTATCAGACAAAAGTAAGGGGGGATAGCCCATCACTGTAAACTCAGTGATCTGTGGGGCGCCACGGAGGCTGCGCAGCCAGAGATTGCTTCAGAGATTGCTTTGGA